AATCACTCGAATTTCAAAAATTTATATCTCAAGTTCAAAACGGTCAATTGCAAACGGAAAAGGCTCATTTTGTTGCTAATTTTTCAAACTATTCACCATAAAATTTTTAACGAAAACTGTCGAAAAAAAATTCTACGCGACAACAACCTTAAGACAAGTAAAGACGCACTTTTTGAAAAAACTTTTTTTTTCAGTGCATAATAGTGTATTAACCGAGCACCCGAAAGGCGAGCGTTTGTAGACCGATGCTGACCAATACCTTGACCACATCTGCCCATTCAGCAATTTCTTCATGGGTGCCTCGCTGCAATGATTGTGATGATGGTTATAAGAATCTCTCAAATCCACTCGTTAATCCTCAAACTTGATATAAATTTACTCAACATCCAATTATTTTTATCCTCCTATTCCAATTTGTTATTCTAATAAACAAATAAAAGAAATTGATTTCAGCCTCTACTCGTAAAAAAATGTTTACCGACCTAGATTTTATAAGAACCCAAATGATTTTTTCGATAATGATGATTTTTTCATTTTTTCTTTCAATGGAAATTTATTCACTAATTAACAAAAAATCACAGTTTCATGATTTGTCGAAAGTTAATGGCTCGTAAATTTTCCATTCCGTTAATGCAAATCTGATTTCTGAGAGTTATTTATCTTCCTACGCAGAACATTGGTAAATTAATTGAGCATTGAAGTAAAACGAAAACTTTGGCAACAGCTACACATGCTTGGCAATAGCAAAACGCAATAAGTTTTTTTGCTCTTTCCACTTGGTAATTTGTTGTAGCAAGAATTAAATTCTCGGCCCATTTTGCTTTGATCGCTTGTGCGAGGGAAGGTAGATGAATTTTCATCACAAATCATTATGCCAATATAATAAAGTCATAAATTTCTCCAATGACAGTGCTAATTTACGATGCATATCGACCTAAGACCAATAAAATCGTTCTCAAGAAGTGATTTCATGAGTTTTGGAGACTAGCAGAAAAAAGGGTGAACATTTAAAGTTCTAGCGATTGGTTTGCAGGCTCTATCTATTTTTTTTCATCGAAAAATAATGATCAATTAAGTAAAAACTAGGTATCCGAGCTCATACTTAAATTATTTATAATTTTCAGCGAAAGTATGACATCGATTTTTACACACGTGGAGAGAAAAGTTCAAGAAAAATTACTAGGCCAAGCGATACAATCGTAGTGCAAACTGCTAGAGCACTTGAATTTCTTTGGTTCACAAATAAAAATTGCTATTAATACCATAAATGTTCTAGCACATTCTATAACTAATTGTATGTGCCTCCATAAAATTTACGAAATAGCACTATAAAAGGTCTATCATTTTTTATTTTAGATAGAAGAAAAAAATTGATAGAAATCCTTCAAAAATTCTTATCTAGTATCTTTTATTGTGCTCTCTTTTTATTTTTACTGTGCAACAGAATTTTTTTCAAATATTTTTAAACCCCATAAGATTGGTTACCGATGAACATCGAATGTTTCCGGTTCTTGCCGAAGTTGGACTTAACGATAGTAACCGTTGCAACGACCTTGAATTTTCACTTGACTGATAAAGATGTTTTCCTGGAATGCGGATGAAGAAATTTTACTGGGCGGCAGAGTAATTTTTCTCAGGTCTGCAATTTACACCGAGATTGTAAAGCAGGACAGTAATTTTTATTGGATTCACAATATAAAAATCGATAAATATTTATCTCCGTGTAGTAATAAAGGACTGACTTTTCTTCATCGAATCGATTATTGGAAATTCCTCTAACTAAATGTCAGCTGTAGTTTCAGTGGAAAGGACAAGAAAAAACAGAATTCCAGAGAAGAAAACAAATTATGTAGAAATGTTTTTGCTTAAAGAATGAAATTGCCTATTTTCATATGCATAATTTTAAGAAATAATTATTCGTCTGTCGCACTCTTTGTTGCCTCATGCATTAAACTCGTGACAGTATGCGAGGAATTAATAAATTGGGTCAAGGTGGATTCAAAGGGTGGGATCAGTATTTTTGTTTGTATGATTGACCTTTCCCGATGCAGCAAGGTCATATCCACAACATTAAATCTCCTCAAGATTTCACTACAGCATTGTTTCTTTTCCCAAATAACTTCCACATCTTTTGAAATTTGCGCAAGTGAGTCTTTACGCAATGACTAGTCCACGGTGGACTCTCTCTGGTGATCAGTGGTATAAAATTCTACATCACTAATGTTGCTTTCCGTTTTTTTTTTCCAAAGGAGAAAGAAAATGAAATGTCGATTGGGGAGTAATTTGCAATTCTTTTCGCTATTTGGCCTACTTTTCAGGCATCAATTAAAACCGGTTTCACGTGTCGTTTAAACACATTTAATTCTACGCGAAATTTACTTCCCTGTGTAATCCAATGATTTTTTACTTCTTCTTACATTTAGAAAAAACAATATGGAGGGTAGTACTGGTAATTTTCGAGAAGAGGTTATCATTGGCCCAGAAATCAAATATTAAATATGGTACGGCATTCGTTCCGATGTTTTGATCACAACATTTTAAATTAATGTTCGGCATATTGTGTTCTTGTGTCTTTCGTTCCCCAACAAAATTATCCCCTGAGATATAAATTTTTGAAATTTGAGTGATTTAACACGTGTTTAAATGGAGTTTTGCCGATTAGAATTTTTTAAAAATCAACGGCTCGACAGTTT